TTCTGCTGAAGAGTATCCAAAATTACAGTGGAGTTTAACAGCTTTTTATATCTCTTGTCAAAACAATTTGGACTAGGTTGTTTTGTTTGTTTTGGTGCTTTGTTTTGTTGTGTGTATGTGTTTATTGGTTTTTCTTAAGGACTTGATTTCTTATTCCTTTACTCAGTATGTGTATAACTTTCTGCATGATTTCTTTGGGGTATGTGTTATGTTCTACATTTATATAAACTGAAAGTTTTTCAAATAGGTGAATACAAGTTGTCTTATCTGAGATCTAAAACAGTAACTGCTCTTTACATTTTTTGGTAGGGGAAGCTGCCTACAACGCTGAGCTTAAATTCCATCTCATTACAAAATAAGGGTGACTGCAAGGAATGGTTATTCATGACTTTTTTTGTGTAACATTCTCACTAGAGAAGCAGACTTGGCTTGCATATTTTCATTCAAGTTGCTTCTCTTTGCCTTTGAGGTTTTTGGTTGTCTTAAGTGTCTATTATGGTGAGGTGGTAGCCCAGCAGAGTTTTATGACAAGTGTGTTTTTTGAAGTAAATGAAACTGCCTCTTTTAGAGTCTTAAATTACAGAATTAACCTTTTACTGAAGGTGTGTTAAAGCTGGATATTTCATTTTTGACTTCTGAGGAATTATGAACACTTAAAAAGTGTTCTAGGAGTTTGATATTAGTCACAGACATCTTCTACATGGATGTAGCTGTTTTAATAATTGTTTTAAGGAAGAAATTTTTCCTTCCTACAACTGCATTGAGTGCTCCGAACTTTAGTAGTATTTGGTAATGAGTAATTTATAAAATTTTCATAAGAAAAATCAAAGTCCAGGGATCTCATGTGCATACATATTGATATTCAAAGGGAAGTTTTTCCTGTGTTTTTCTTCTTTTCCATGCTTTTGGTATAGTACTAGCTTCAGAGGCATTTATCTTTTTAACATGGAGTACTCTGTAGTACACCACACTTGGTATTAGCCAGAAGTCCAAGAGGTAATCTTTTGTGGTCAAAACTGGATGAAGTCCTAACTTTGTTTATTGTGCTTTCAATGCTTTTACAGAACTCATATTAACATCTTGACCTTGTAATTTAGATTAAGAATAATATTGATTTTCTTCTGATGCAGTCTGCTTGATTGACAGGATTCCTGAAAGCATCCCTTCCTCCATTCTCTGCATTTTTATGTAAAGTTAGCTGTTACAATTTTATTTTGTTCTTGGTAAGGTAAGAACAGAAGAGTTTAAATAAACAACTGTCTACATTGTAATTGACGGAGTTTATTTTGGGCTCATACTACAATAAATGAGGTGTCAAATTTTGATGAAATGTTATTGGAGACTTTTATGAGTTTTACAGAAATAGAAGAAACTATTTAATTTTGATCCTTGTTTTAACCATCCTAAAAATAATAAAACAAAGTTAATATAGAAAGAGGTCATCAATAATTGTTGCTACTTGGAACATGAATATTTTTTTACTGTGGAGACTTACTCAGCGCTATTGCGATGTTAAAGATAGTCCTTTATGTCTGTAATATATATATATCTTGATTCCTACATTTAGCTTTTGAGCTCTGGGGGAAGTAGGCAGTTGTTTCTTAGTCATTTCTTTGCAGCTCACTATAGGCATGAGCATCTGTGATAGCCAAGGATGTCAGCATTTAATTTCCTTATGAGGACTGATACACAGTTTACATTCATCAAATCATAATTCAGTATGCAAATAAATTATTTTTCTACATTTTCCATACTGCTGTAGTTTTCCAGTCCTAATATTTCTTTGCAACAAGTTGTAAATGCTGTTAACAAAAGGCAAACTGTTAATATATTTGCAAGTGTTAATATCCTGCATAACAACACTGTGTCCACTGAACTGTATTTTCTTAGAAATATTTCTTATCTTATATATTATTTTATTACATGAAAGTAATAATGTGAAGGCGTTTAAATTTTCACACAGCAGGGTTTCTGTTGCTGAAATTGGGGGGGTTTTATTGAAGACAAGCTAGAGGAGTAGCACAGGATCAAATACAAGACATTTCCTTCAGACTAGTTCAGTCAATTGTCCAAAAATATGCTAAATTTGAATAAAGGTAGAGGCACTTGCAATTAAGTTGTTCTGATTTTTACTGCTGTTTCATTCTCTTGATGTTTTCATGTACTAAGTGACCCTGTCTGAGTGGTTTGATTTTCTGTGCCTGCTCCTAGATCTTGACTGAGGTTTTATTAGTGGCCTTTTTTCACTTGTGAGCACCCCAGATTGTTAGCATAGCTTCCCACACAGTACTGCTACCCTGTGGTTCCTTTCCAACTTCTTATTTTGCACTAAGTGCTGGCATCCATTGCCAAAGTTTTCATCTTTAGAGGTCCTTCCAGTAGCAGTTGAAAAGTTACCTCCCTCCACTTAAGATTCTTCTGCTCCCTTTCTCCCATTATAAAATCACAGGAATAGCAGAATAATATTTAATTGTAGACTGACTTCACAGACTTCTCTGCTTTCCCAACCTACTTACTCAGTGTGTCACTGATTTAATGTGCTCTATTAGAGGAAAGAGCTCAGTCTTGCAGAATTGTCTTGAAGTGACAGCATACCAAAAATACGGGACTTGTTGCTTAGACTGTTTTGAGTTGTGTTTCATTAGACTTTAAAACTCTACCCACATTTCCCAAGTTGTTCTAGGAAAAATTTTCTAAGATTGTGTCACCACAAGCTAAATGTTTTCTCTAGGTCAATTTTCCATTAAAACAGTTACTACTTGCCCTCACCAGTTTCTGCACTGACATTTTGTTCACATTTTGCATAGTGCTTCAAGCTGTGCTTCTTCTGTGTTTTCTTTAAGTATTCCCATTTTCATTTTGTCTATGGCATGTGATCCGCTGGTTTTATCTGGCAGTGCTACATTTGTTGGTTTTGTGGAGCTTTTGTGATTCATTTCAATATGCTAAACATTTTATGTTTTTTTAAGACCTGTTAATCTGAAACCCAGATAATCTTCAAGTTCTGTCAGTTGTTATTCGTGTTTTCCGTCCTGTACATCTAGCTTTCATTGAGAACTATGTCATGTCCTCAAATAAATGTTTTCTTTTTGATTCCAACTACGGTATTATTTGATATTTATACATTTTGCCGTCTGACACTAGCACTGTATTTTGTTTCACACAAGAAGCTGATAAGATAAAACACATCAGGAGAACACCATTTATGAAACTTTAAAAAGACAACTATTTTTTTCCAGCATTGGTTTCATCATAATTTTTTTTTTAATTACTGAATATATAACAGTGTGACAGCAAAGGCTTTTGACTGACATGAATTAGCATTTAAAACCTCCGCTATGTGACTGACCATGTTAAATGAGGAGGGGGAAAGATTTATATATGCTAGGGGTAAAGACACTAATGCATCCAGGAAAGAATTCTGGTCTCTACATCACCTTCTGTGCTTTGAAATACAACAAACTGGAGATAAACACAGCATTACTTACCTGATCTTGTATCATAAATAATAATCTGAATTAGCAAAATATGATTAAAATGGTGATATTTTTCTCAGAACTTTTTTTAAGGTGGCTTTCTTTAATATCTTGACTTACATTGGCTAGTAGGTTTCAGGAGAAAATCTTCAGGAAAATATGAATGCTACCACCATTAATTTTAAGAAGTCATATGTGTGGTTTTGTAATAGCAAAAATTCATCTCTAAATGCAAAAGTACATAATGACCTCCTCTGGTTCGGTTGCAGATGGGGCCCACTTAAGTCCTGCTGTGGGAAAGTGGCATTTAAAGTAAAAACTTCAGCGCTCTTAGAGTATGTTATTTGTGGTTATTTAGTGGAGTTTCTATATGTGCCTGAAAGGGTGTGGCTTCCCTAGGGGGGGAAGACTTTTGTCACAGGGCACAGCTTGAAGAGGAAGTTTAGGAGTGAATGGGCTTCCTGCATGAGAGTAAAGTTTAAAATTATGAGTCAGCGACCTGGGGTAGGAAGAATTTCTTTCAGTATAGTTTTCCAGTAATAAATATATGTTAAGTAATTTATGCTAGTCTTACACTTGGATGCTACTTGTTTTAATCTGGCAAAAATAAAACCACAGATTCATGCTACGTGGGGTAAAATTTGCTTTATTTAGTTTTCGAAGATCAAGTTAATAACTGGACAAATTACCATATCATTAGATCCTGGAAGGATTAATCTCTTTTCACGTCTAGGCAGCAAGGGAAGATGTCGGGACTTCACATATCACAAGTACCTGCATATATAAGAAATAAATGATAGTGGTAACTGAGTAGTAAAGGCTTGTTTAGTTCAAACAGTTGGATGCTATGTCTCTACAAATTAGTGGAAAAAAAAATACATTAGTTTTACCCTGAATTAAACTATTGGGTTTTATTGAAAACATCTAATAGAAGCCATATATTTCTAAAAGATGAGCTTTAACCCAAACAAAAGTTTGTTTAAATTTAAGCTAGAAATCGCTGGAAAAGATTCTATGGCTTGTCTCAAGCAGGAACAAGGGCTAAAGGAATGATGGTCTTCTGCAGTTTAAAAGTAATTAAGTTTCTGTTCTCTTAATGTAATAATCTAGCGAGCAGTATTGTGTGTTTAAAGCAGTATTGTTTCATCTGACAGGATAACAGGTATAAATCTCATGCATGTGTAAGATGAGGTGAGGTAAGGCCTTCATCTGAAGTTGGGGGTGCTAAAATATTTCTGTAAGGGAACTTCTTACATAGTATATTTTTTAGTTAATAAAAAAGTCTTGGTTTCTCTTTAGAGGTGGCTTTATATGGTGAGTGTGCAGGTCAGTTGCTCTACAGGAGTGCAGGTCTTCATGTTTGTTAGAAGCATAAAACATTTCTTAATAAATATACGAACTAATTCCAAGTTGGTTTTTTTTTTTTGTATTGTTCAGGTGTAATTTAGAAACAAATATATTACTCTAATTCTTTTTTTTTTCAGGTATTAGTTTTAAAAGAGGTGCTTGCTATCAAGAGCTACTATGGACAACATGAAAAAAGTTGGTAACAGCTCTTGCAGTGATGGATTTCTACTTAGAATGGGCCTCAATGATAATAAAGCTGGAATGCAGGGTTTGGATAAAGAGAAAATCAACAGCATCATCATGAAAGCTACCAAGGTTGGTTTTATTAATCTTGTGGTTTGTTTGTTGTTCAGTACTATAAAGCCCTCTTCCTCCCTTCCCAAATTTTATCCCTCACGGGTGTAAACAGAGGGTATCTTCTAGGAACGTATGCTTGTAGGTGGAGGAGGGGGAGAAGCTGTAGCTTAGGGTGTCATAAGGTACTGTTGGATTCATCCACAGGGACATGGAAGTATGTCCTTAGGTACTCCCTCTTTGAATGAAGCAGTACTTAAATAGCATTGTCCAGAGGTAATTGTGAAGGTTTCAGCTTTCTTAGGCTTCTTGTTTTCCACTTTCTGTTTTGCCTGCCCCATCATTACTTAGCCAAGTAGATTTACCTCTATTGGTCACCTTCCTGTAACTGATGAATCTGATATAATCTTGTTTTTCTAGTTTTCTCAGCAGAATTTCTTTGTGCTTCCTGGGTGTCTTCTTGATTGTCTTCTCAGTATTGGAGAGGTGGCCAGTAGTATGCAACTTTGTACCAAAGATCCACAGGGGACCCTACAAATCTAGTAAACATTGAAATACTAGTCCTCTTACTTATTATTGGAGAGTCTCCACATAGACCTATATGGGGATAACACTTTATTTGAGCAACTCTGGGTTTTCTTACAGTTACTTCTCCTTGCACCTATGTGTATTTCATTTGGTGTTGCTGTTAGTCCCAGGTTACGTGCTTGCTGTTCTTCTCATGAGTTGTGTGTTGACTGCTGTTCCTCTGTGATATGCTGCAGGGGCAGGGGTCAAGGGAAACGGAAAACATACTATGAACAGCTCCTACATGGAAAATGTTATCTTCTTTGCATTTTCACTTTGATGATACTTTATATGCCATCAAGACCCTTGTTGATTAGATGTTTCTTCTATTTGTTCTATTCACTCTGTTGAAAACTTAGTGTTTTGTCAGACATATCCCTAATGGTGACATTTGGATAAGTTACTTTGTCAGAACAGTTACTGTTTCATTTTCTGGTACGAAATAGAATGAACTGTAAAATAGGCATTCAAAACTGATATGGAGACATACATGTATTAGGATATATTTATATCAAAAAGAGCGAGAGAATGTAAATACTAGATACAGCTCAAGCAATCTGAAAAGCAGCATTCGTTCTTTTCCTTAAGTGTTTCTTTAGTCTTCAAAATTACACCCACCTACCCACAACTGTATTACAACAAATTTTAAAGCATTTCAACTGTGAATTACTAAAAGAGATGTAAAAAAAACCACAGCTTAATAACAGTCTTGAGTATTGTGTTGCTTCCCACACCAGCATGTGTCTGATACTGAAGGGAAACACACCGTAATTTCTTCTAATTAGAGATTTCTTAGCAATGAGATATGACACATTACAGTATTGCCATTCAAGATTTTATCATTATTGTAAAAGTGGATATTTTTGCTCCTTACATAAATGTCTGATCCGTACTTGACTATGGCTGACTTCTTGGTGTCATTGACAGGTCAGTAGTCAGAGGCATTGGCCTAACAATTTGTCCATTTTTGCAGATTTTATCAGAGGTAGTAAGAGACACATTACCTCTTCCTGCAAAGGTTATTTCTTTTGTGAGCTAAGCAGATGTTGCAAGAAAAGTGTTTTATTTCCTGGATTTTAGTTTTCCTCTTTTCTATTTGATTGTGAGGGAAGCTACATTATATATTTTCCACCTGATTGTTGTCTTTTTGTGTTTTTATTACATCTTTTATTCATTCCTTTTTTTGAAGGAGCAATGACATACCTGAGAACAAGAGAGTTTCTTTATACTCATTTGCTTTTCATCATCCTCTTCCAAACAGCTTCTAATTCTGCAAGGTGCTTCAAGATGAAGTGGTTAATGAAATACTCAGCATTATAAATGGATCTGGCTTTTACAATGTCATTATTTATTTCCATGTAGAGTAAACTCTATGGAAGCCTTGCAAAATGTTCAAATCAGGGTTTTTTTTAATTTATTTATTTATTTTATGCTCCTTATCTTAGTGGTATTACAAAGAATAGTTTGATTTTTGTCTACTATTTTGGAATTTTTCTTGTCAAGTGTTAGAATGAGTAAACCTAGTAAGTTCCCTGAATATTTGCTTACACATGTCTGAGTATGAGGGCTCTGGAAGAGAGAAATAGATTTGTGTCATTTGAGGAGAGAGATGTAAAGCACCACTGGTCTCTTCTGTATCATCTATATGAAAAACCAAAGGATGCATTAAAAACTTACTATTTTTTATGTTTTCTTTAAAGATCAAATGTGGTTCTTTGTACAGGAAAAGTCAAAACCTTAATCTTTTTGGATTTTTCTTCCAGGGTTCTAGATTTTATGAAAATGAACTTAAAAAAGATCAGCAAGTTAACCAACGAATTGAAAAAATGATGCAGCTAAAAGAGAAAATTACAACACAACAGCTCTTGAAAGCACAGCTGCAGGTATTAGTAAAAACTTTTTTCAGTAAATAGAGCGTGATAAAAATGTTGGTGTTTTGGTCTAAAGCATTAAGTTCTAGTGAAAAGCACAGTGTTAACTACAACTTTGCTGTTAGTCATACGAGCAAACGTGCACACTGTTTTGGTGATGCACTCTTATTAAAAATTTGCCAGAAGAGTAGATTGTAAAATCACTCTAAAACGTTCCCAGAGTCTGATCGGTTAAAGAGATGTCATTACGGTTTATGTAAACATTTTGTTAAATAGCTTGTTGCTATGTATCATATAGTCTACTCTGTTTTTATAATGCACGTATATTTGTGTTCCATGGCCTTGCAATAGGATGAGGGGGATCACAGCTGGCAACTCTTCTGGGTATAATTTATTCCTTATTTATGCTAATTAATTAAAAAATTATCATGGCAAGCAGTCTCAAGAAATGTCAGTGTCCTGAACTAGAAAGATGAAGAGGCTATTTCTCTTCTGAAATGCTAATGACGGATAGTGTGCAATCTTGTTGTTTTTGTTTAACAACCTAAATATTCTTAGGTGCAACAGAATTAAAGTTGCTTCTGGGGTCTTAAGTCCTTCCCTTGTTCATGTTCACTGTGATTCAGTCTTTAATTGCGTGATTGCTTGCTGTTTTCCCTAACAGGATTTCTGCTTCATTCAGTGCACAGAGCAGACAGTGTTCACTGAGTGGGCAATTATTCAATATTTACTGTTGTGCTCATTGTTCAGTGGGTGGCCCTGAGCTTTGTTTGTTGTACACTAGTCTAATCCAGCTTTGAATGCAGAATTACTGACTTCCTCATAGACTTTTCTATGTTGTACACGAATGAATTCTTTAAATTATTCTTGCGAAACTTCAGCAGAGTCATATTTTTGTTTTGTAGGTGGGAAGCTGAAGCACATGAACATTTAACATATCCATTAATTTTAAATGCGTCTGTGAGGATTGTAGGTCCTGAGCTTTAGTATAAAATCTTTTTTTGTTCATTACAGATTTGCAAATCACTTCTGTGAATTAGCTGCCAGTGTCATAAATCTGTCTAGAAAAGCTTGCAGTTACTGAGTACCTCTGAAAAGCTTATCACTAACCTGTATGCCTCAATAGTTTTCAGAGAATTTTGACGTGGATCAGTTACATCTCTGCTTGTCAGTTTTGTTCTGTTGTTTATTTAGTTTAGTTGTTTGTTTGTTTGTTTTAAATTTCCTGGGGCAGCTTTTAAGTAAATATGAAAAAATACTTGGATTTTCATTCTTCTTTCACCACAGAACTTATTTTACAGAGAACAGTCTTTCTTATAAAAGGAATGGCACAGATTCTGTAAAATTAGTGTATGGTTATGTAATTAAGGAATATATAATGCATACAGTGAAAGCAAAAATATTAATTGTTTTTATTATCCTCATACTGTCTCTTTCTGAACTTTATGCTTTCATCTTGCAACGTATTATTTTCTTCTAATGCTTTATATGAAAATTGCTTTCTGTAGAAGAAGAAGAAAGCTTTAAAAAAGACATTATTTCATGTGGGTCTTACTGGGACCTGAGTTTCAAGCCCCATGTTTGCAATCTTTATGCCACTTTTTCACATAGTAGTCATCTTTATTTCCAAAGGAGTAACTGCTAGGTCCACTGGCATACTGCACAAGAACTGTCATTGGAGGGCGATAGCATGCACACTTTGTTTGCTGGCTAATTGTCGATCTTTGTTGCTATAAAAACTTCTTGAAATTTTGGCTTTTGGTTCCATCCAAACCATTCCAGATAAGCTGTGGTTCACGATTGTTGCTGCTTTCATTTCTTCATCACAAATTCTGACCCTTTTGTGCTCGCCTCTCCTTTAATTTATCCTATGCTGAATTTTCCTTTTATTGTCCCACATTCCACATATTACCATCAGTCCACTTTCCAAAGCAGTCCTTGTCTATGCCCACAGAGTCCCCATTAAAGTCCTCAGTCTCCACCTTTGCCTTTGCAAGTCTTGTTTGCCTTGTGTGGTTTCTTAACACATGCTGTGTGTTGTTTAATTGCCTTCTCTGGTGAGTCACATGTGGCACTGGTGAGTTGAATGTAATTCTGCTTCATTCTTCAGGTGCCTATGTTTGCTGATCAGTAAGTATCATGGTAGAAATAAATTTGGGGAGAAAAAAGCAAAAAGAAGCTTGTTATAAATGTGATCAATTGAAATGCAGAAGTTAGGTAACAAAGAGCAATTGATGGTAGTAACCATACAAATTGTGCATAAATAATGCTTCAGGACCATAAACCCATTACAGTCAATCCAGAGGCATGGATTCTGTGGTAGTATCTTGATACCAGGAGTGTGAGTGTGTCCTTTTGCTTGCAAGCAAAGTGAAACATTGGTTCCTTTTCACTACTTGAATTTCCTGAGCTCTATTATGCCTGTTGGTTTTCTGTGTTGTGGTTTTGTTTTTTTGGTTTTTTGTTTTTTTTTGCTAGCAGTACCAACCTTTTGTTGTGTAATTAGAGGTTACCATAGTCATTAGCATGGTTAGATAATCATAGTTTGATAGCACTTCCTCTTCTTTTAATTATCAATATTTTCTCTTTGGTTTCTAGAGTGATGTGTGGTACTGCGAATGCAGTCATCTTAAATTACTAGACCTTCAAAATTACCTGTGAAATAATGCACTCGTGTTCTGGTGACACTCACAGTTTATATCTCATTCATAGTTAAAAGATATTTCAGAGACAAGCACATGATCTGCAAGTCTTTTGGTCAAAGAATGCAAGCAAATTAAGCACAATTAAAGTATTTCTTGCAGAGGTCTGTGGACTCGGCCTCTGCCTCAAAACACCATGGAGCCAATGGAGCAGCAGTATTGCTCACAGCCTACTATCAGAGGATACAATTTTAAATTTTGGAGTGAAATGCACTTTTTGTTTATGGGCTTTTCTTTTAGAAGTCATCTGGCAATTTTAATAGCAATCCAGCCTTATATGATATGGATTACTGTAGCAAATGTTGAGGAATTTTATGACAGGATTAACAGTGGCTTATTTAGCAGTAAATTAACCTGAGGCCTTATTTCTGACAAGACAAAAGAAATTGATCTGCCCTCTGAGCTGCTGGTGTTCTCTTCACCTGTTTAGGCCAATTTTCTAGAGTGTGATAGCTTAATTTAGGGGTATTGGATGCTCTAACAGCATTTTTTTATTTTTTATTTTTTTTTTCAAAAACTTGTAGCTAAATCTGTTTTAATCACAGTAGCTAAAACTGTTTTACTCAGTGGTCTTACAAAGCTTTTGTCTGAATTGGACAATGCATTTTTTTTCCACCTAGGTGGGGTTTTGTTGTTTGTAGAGTTGGGGTTTTTTCATTGGGTTTTGGGTGGATTTTTTTGTACCATTTGCTGCAGCAGTGTTCCCTCTGAGAGCAAGTTTCATTAGAAACTTTATTGGCATGATTTTTATTGGTGATGCGTTGGTGGGGTTTGGGTTTGTTGTGTGGATTTTTTTTAACCAGCTGCATTTGAGTTTTTAGGATCATCCGTAGTGCTGCACTTCTGCCAGGTTAATAGTTTTTTGGTTATTGGTTTGTTCTGTTCAGGTGGACAAGCTTGTGACAGAACTGGAGCAGAGCCGTAACCTCAGCAATACAATTGTACACATTGACATGGATGCCTTCTATGCAGCTGTGGAGATGCGAGACCATCCAGAGCTGAAGGACAAACCTATAGCAGTAGGATCAATGAGTATGTTGGTAAGGCCCAATGTCGAGCTAATATAGAAATCAATTACATGAATCTAAAGTTTAATAAACCATATAGTAATAACCTCGTATAATGATACTGTTATACAGAGAATTTTTATAAGTGTGGGAAAAATACCAAAAATAATAGAGGAAACCCTTAGAGTTTCCTTCTTAGAGTAGGTCATGTAAGCAGTTTTTTATTTTTCTGTGAGGAGGGTACTGATGAATGTTTGAAGGCTGTAATCCAATTGAAAGGTGGGTGGTGGGCTGAATACATGTAAACTCTTAGCCTTGCCAGTCTTTTCTGTGTGAAGATATATGATTAGAACTCGATTATTCAAAAAAACTTGATTACTGAACACTAAACTCATTTAAACTCTCTCCTAAGTCCACCTCAAATTACCATGCTAGGAGATATGGTGTACGTGCAGCTATGCCTGGATTTATTGCTAAAAAGCTATGTCCACATCTAACTATAGTACCATTAAACTTCGAAAAATACGGCAAAGTGAGTAAGGAGGTAAGTCTGAAAGTTCTTTCTAATGTAAAGTCAGTGTACTTAGACTCTATCCATACATCAGTTTTAGGTAATTTGGGAAGTGATGGTGTAATTATTAAGTTCTTCAGTCATGTGGCTTTGAACATAAATTAAACAAGACATTGGTGCTTTTGGGCAAGAAGATGAAAAAGCATTGCACTCACCCATCCTGCCATTTTAATGAAATCAACAGTGATGCCGATCACAATTTTCAGAACTTCCTAGTGAGCTAGTGATACCATCTGAGCATTATTATTCTTAACACTTCAAAACCATGGAGCTTAATCTAATTACTAGGATACTGCAAGTACATAGGAAACATGGAGATGATAATTTCATACAGTGCCTGATCATTTTGAATGCTAATTACTGGGGAGAGAAGCAAAGAGCATTAGTGAGCTTGAAGTGTTGTTTCAGAAGAGACTTGGAACAAAAAGCGAAAATTTGCGGAGATAAGAAGTCACATTTTGCTTTAAGAAAAGTAATCTTGCTTAGTGCCAGGAGAATTACACAGGATAACCAAAATCCTGTTGTGCCAAAAAAAAAAATCTTTTTTTCAAAAGTCTCCTGCAATAAAATTAGGCCAAGATTTTTTTAATTTTTATTAAGCTCAGTCTCTACACATAAATAATGTAAGCTAATTATTAATTTTGATCTTATTTGATTTTTCTCACTTCTGTTGTAAAAAAACATATAAAAACGAGTATTTCAGGGTGGGTTTGAACTTGTTAAGGTTTTTGAATTTCATTATATGTATTTCACTTGTTTGATGGGGTAAAATATTAAAGGTTCAGGTTGATTTGTTCTTTTAGTTATGTTTTTATCTTGGGATTTGGGTTGAAAATAATTTATTTAATTTTGTCATTAAAAGTTGAGCAGTGAATCTTATCTTTAATTAGTTTCAGAAGGATGAAGTACATATGAACAAATGTGATACCTAAGATTTTGACCAAACCTGATAGAAAAAACATGATGCAGTCACATTTTCCTCCTTAAATAAAAAAAACAGAGAGGGGCAAAAAAAAGAAGAGAGAAGGTAGAGATTTTATTTTGACCATTTAGTTTATGTTGTCTTTTGTGAAAATGCACTTGCCACTGAAGATTTTTCTAAGGAGTTTTGCCTGTGGCATTTACCAGTGCTCTGAAACATAAGCTATAACTTTAGTTTGAATGTAATTTAAAGATTAAGTGTGGGGTTTTTTTAACCTTTGCATATGTGATGTCTAACATGCAGTGCACAGAAAGGTGCAACAGCCCAGTTCCCAGGTCCCCAGAATTTTATTCAGGTGGTTACTGCAGTGTCTGTGAACCTGATGCCTGTGGAGTCCTCATATGCTGATCTTAAAGATGTTTTTAGTAAAATACACTGCTCAAAATCTGTTTAATTCTCATTTACTATTGCTATTTCCTACTTGTAAGAATCAGCACTATAGTTTTCCAATATCAATAAATAATGTGTTCTATAAATATCCTTAATATTGATGGGTCATCTTGAAGTTTTAGAGTATGTTTCTTCACCTTGTAACTCTGTGTCAAGATCTGCCTTTACAGCAATGAGACTTTAAACTTTCACAATGTGTTTATCAAGGTTAGAGAAATACTGGCTGAATACGATCCAAATTTTATGCCGATGGGCCTAGATGAAGCCTACCTGAACATAACAGAGCATTTGGAAGAAAGAGTGAACTGGCCTGAAGACAAGAGAAGATTCGTTTTTAACACAGAGAGCACTACAGAAAAAGGTAATCAAGTTACTCGTCTCACTCAGCCTCCTGACACTGGGGGACAGATGGTTTCTTTTGGGGATCGTTGATAGAACAACGATGCCACTACATTGTACTTATAATTTAAGCTTTGTTTTCTTAACATGCAATTATGATCAGAATAGCACATGAGAATAGCACAGGATTTCTACAAGCAGTATCAGTAAGTAGCATATTACAGAATTTATAATACAACCTAACTTACCATTTCTAATCACCTAGAACCTCTGCAGATTGTCTCAAATCTTAATAAACGGTTTGCTGTAGCAACGCAACAGTCATTATCTAGAGTCAAAAAATTATATGAAGAGTACAAGTCAATCCCTCAGTCCTTGGAGGAAGCGGATGATGGTGGAGGTGTCCGTGGCCACCAGGGGATCCCAGTCTCACTGTCCAGCAGCGGTTCTGGTCCCACTTCTCCGTTAGGACTTGACAGTGCTGGGTGCTACAGACAGCTGTGGGTGCTGTCACGCTTCCCTCTTCTGTGGCAAGGACACCAACAGCACCAGGTTGCCCAGGTGCCTGGGACCTTCCAGGCCTGTAAGGAAGGCAGTTATGGTTCCTGGTGGTGCCCAGGAACATTGAGGCTAGTAGAAAGAAGAAATCTCTTTTGTTTGTCTACTTGGTCCCCAGTATATTCAAGGCCTGATAATGAGGGCAAGGGGAACAACATATATGAGAGACTCATCCCAGAGAGTGGCTGTGTGTCTTCTAAAATGGTGTAGTTAGGCTAACCACATTACCCTGCTGGCTTTGGGAGCAGAGGGTGATAGTTAAACACAGATATAATATAAGCTTCAGAAATGCTGCACCCATTGAAAGTGTAGATACTTAAGTCCTTGCATAATTCATCCTCCTTTTTACTCTCTCCTTCTGATTTGTTAGTTTACAGGTTAAATTCCTCTACTATTCACCTGTGCATAAAAGGTATGCTGCTAATGATTTGGACTTGAAGGATTTTAATCTTTTTATCTGGTACAAAATGTGTGGTGCTAGGCTTATTAAACTCAAATTAGTTTTAGTGTTCTGAGTGTGTATTTTTCCTTTACAGTTCCAACATGAAAATTTTGCAAATAAGTAGTAATAATCTTATGACTTAAGGATATATAGAATAAAATTACTGTTGTAAAGGTTATTTGTATTTTGCAAAGATGTTTCATAAAATTATATAGTGGGTTCTGTACATCAGAAACATGAGAAGCAGTCTTCAAACACAGAGTAAGTTCTAGTTGTATGATTATTTTACAAGGCTAAATATGTATAAAATAATGAGCACTGTAGGAGTTACAGTAAAGCTCAGGGTATGACTGGATTTCACTTGGCTCTAGAAGATAGAATTGGAACTGCATCCACAACTGTATACCACATCAGGAATAATAAAGAAGGAGGAGTCATACAAATGGTTGGTTGATGCAAAAACCAGAACATTCTTATTATCAGTATTCAAAAATTATCTAAATAGGCATTAAAAGTATAATCAAGGATACTCGGCTACTGAAAATCATTAATAGAATAGAAAGAAATAAACTGGCATAGTCTTTACAAAATAAGTACCACTGCTGTGTTGTCATGTGCCTTTTCATATTTCTCTAACATCTTTGTTCTTCCGAAATACAAAGAAGCGCTTGGAATGTGAGACAGTAATAGTAAAGTTTGTCGAGTCAGACAAAGGGCTGCTAACACTACTTCCTCTGCCATGACTGCAAATGAAGACAGGCTCACCAGGCTGGCAGTCCCAGAACCAGATATTCCAGAACCCTAATTTTCTTTGGAGAATATTGAAAAAGCTTCTGCAACAGATTTTTATTTCCACACAAAAAAAGGAACATTTGGCTTTTAATATGAAACAAAAAGTAATGCCAAAATGTTGATGTTTTTCTGCTGCTACAGCAGTAGGCCATTAAATCTTGTTGCTTTTCTGGAATTTACATCCAGTCTCCTAGCCAATTCTTCCAGTCTCAGCCAAGCTCAAATGCTATTAAGAACAAAGCAGTTAATATTCTCCTTTTTTTGAACAAAAAAAAGCAATTAAATTGCTTTGGCTAAATAATTACATATTTTTTTCCCAAACAGAAAATAATACAACTGCTAATGAACTTTCTTCAGCCACTGCAGAAAGAAATCGATAAAGTGTATGTTTCATATAGGTGTATTAATTGTTGGTGTTTCTGTCAAACATAGATAAAGATGATACAAATATGTCTGCCAAATTTAATGAAGGTGGATACTCTTCTTCACCGGTACTGTTTGAAGACAACACACCTCTGATGGATGATCATCCTGACCAAAGAGGTCAATCAGCGGAAAATTCAGTTGTCTTTGGAACGTCTGCAGAGGAAGCTGTGAAGGAAATTCGCTTTAGGATTGAGCAGAAAACTCAACTGACTGCTAGTGCAGGTATTCAGACACATACAAATAATAATACTGCTTCGTATTTCCATAATGTCTTCTACTGTAATCTCAGGAGGGCATTAATTAAGAAACTGGCATTGTCACAGCATTCTTGTGCTGCAGAGAGAACGTTCTTTCTGCAAGTCTGCAAAGACTGTGACTTTCAGGTGTTTCAAGAGATGCTATGACTATCAAAGCCACTCCTGGTTTTTGTCTTTTTGTTGTTTTGGGGGCTTTTTTTTTTTTAAATCATAGGAACAGTTATATAATCTTTTTTTCTTCTTTCTTCTTGTAATGTGGAAGAGTAACCAGTGCACTCAGGAGCAAATTTTAGCACTGGTAGTTGTTGGTATGGTGCTTCATGTAAATTGTTTTTGTAAGCCTGTGGTTGTTGTGAAATCTGTTGCTGGTTGCTAAATTGCTGTTAACTTGAATAACAGGTCTATATTGTTAAATATGTCTAACAGTTCTCCACACTGTTCCTAACTCAAGGCAATATCAAAATTCCTTAAAAATTTAGTTCTCAGAGAAGTTGAAATTAATAAGCTATTCACTAGCTTTTTAATATTTACCATTCAGGTTTTACATCTTTTGACTTCAGGCAAGCTACCTGTCAATCTCAGCTGTTTTGATAATAATCTGGATTAGGTCACTAAAAAAAGTGTATGTCCCTAGCCACTCAGTTTGGATGCTATCCAAACTGCTTTGTGAACCAGGTCAGTGAGGCATCAGGGAGAGCTGAGCTTTATGAAGCACATACAGAAGGCCAGGGCAGTGTTGAATGTAAGCAAGGGTACAGGAACAGAGGGTAGGAAGAAGCAGGATGAGACACCCCACACCCCCACTATGTATGTTATATCTTGAGTTATAGCAAAATTTTATTCGACTGAAGTAAATATTCCTATCTACCCTAGGGATAAGTTAGCATTTAGAAAACAGACATAGCTTTTGTAAGTGTATCAGGGAATTGACCTGAAAATTCAAAACAGATAGGAAAAAAAGAGCTTATTGAAAAAATGGTGATAATCAATAATAAATAGAATTCCTTCTGCCATCTTGAGTAAGTTAGATGGGTGAGAAAATAAAAATGTAGACCACTAGGGCTGTTGCGCAGAATAATCCTATTTTTCCTGCAAAACCAATTCCAGAGTTTGATTGTAAAAACAGTTACTTTGATAGAAAAGAGCAATCCCTCCTCATCCCTGCAAGTGTCAGTGAAATAGGTATATATTTCTAAGTGACTACGTAGCAGTGGTGGCCCACAGGAGACTTTAATTTGGTGAATTTTGTCCAAACTAATTTAGTCTTTTTGCTGAAATACAGGAAGAAATACCTCCTTCTCATTAAGAGTTCATTTTAACTGCTGTTGTGAGAATTTCCTTTTCTTTTATCATAATCATCATAAAAACATTCAATCATGTCACAAATGTTATTTTTAAACACTTGGTATTTAACCTCTCATGACTGGTAAGCACATGTTGTGTTACCCTGACTATCTTAAAATAGTAGGTACACTTTATCTTGTCATCCATTATATTTCATTTACCACATGTATGTATGTTCTCACATATCAATTACAAAATGCTTTTGCAGAATTGTAACAAAGATGCTTATCAATTATTGTCAGTCTTTTGCTTGTATTTAGTCATTGCCAAATGCGTAGGCTACTTCTGTGCTTTTAAATGTTGGATGTTTGAAGTTAAACATTGTCTTGTGTTTTTTAAGAATACCGTGTGTGTTTGTTTTTAAGGAATAGCGCCAAATACCACGTTAGCAAAAATGTGCAGTGATCGTAACAAGCCTAATGGACAGTGCAGAATTGTTCCTGAGAGACAAGCAGTGCTCGACTTCCTAAAAGATTTGCCCATTAGAAAGGTAAGAGAAACCATGACGTTTGCAACCATATGTATTTGTTGTGTTCTGAAAGAAAGATTTCTGCTGAAAAAATATACTTTTCTATGTCATCTCCCCGGTTGTGTTTGACTCAAGTTGTTCTCGGTATTAGATAAACAAATGGAAAGTTTCCAGCATAATGATACTTACTCTTTTTCAGGTGCCAGGTATAGGAAAAGTAACAGAGAAGATGTTAAAAGCCCTTGGAATTGTGACTTGCTCAGAACTTTACCAGCAGAGGGCACTGCTTTCTCTTCTTTTTTCAGAAGCGTCTTGGCGTAATTTCTTGGATATTTCCCTTGGTTTGGGTTCAACACATTTGGAAAAGTATGTTTTGATGGTTTTTTCTCCTGTGTTTTACATTCTTCTAAATTTTTCCTTGTTTAAGTTAGATACTCTACATTTTAAGACTTAATGTATTAACAAATGGATGTTATGAAAATTTGGCTTAATGTATTTTTAAAGGTCTGTGATACCTGTTATTATTATACTTCCGGCTAATATACACACACCACAGACAAACATTAAAGAGCAAAATTTTGTACAGCCGTCTCTAACATGAAATCCAAAAAGTCTCAGTAGAAGTTGTACTTAAGTGTATATCAAGTCAGTATCATTTGGGATAACCTCAAAATTACTAAAACAGCGAAAGAGAAATGAGTTGTCCTACTCAAATGTGTACAGTCATGTTTCTTCTATAAAACCAATTCATATTCATAGTCTTTTATTATTGTAATACAATTGTAATGAAAATTACATTGCTATCTAATCTTCTCTCATGTTAAAGTGTCGTATTTCTAATGAAAGTATCTGAAGTTTCTGTGTTTCCTATCGTGTTTACATATATATTTGTACTATCAACTTGTGAACTTGCTGGATTAGAACTGATTATTTTTATAACCTGCTTCATATCTGTTCCTTTAAGTTCGTACTACTTTAATGGCTTTTTGGCCTCCTGTTTTGGGGTGAGAAATCAGTCCTCCTAGTGAATACTTCTTTTCAATAACATGCATCATTTCTAAGGCTGTATAGATACAAACATGGAACATTTGTTCTTAAAAATACACAAAACAGTGTTTTGCTGTTTGTATAACCAAGAGGCTTAATTTGTAACCAAATCCTTTCTTTTAAAAGAAAGGACCTTCTTTTTTCTTTTTTTTTTTTTTTTCTCTTCCCTTCCTTGGATATCCTGCTAGCCTTCCCAAAGGGCTGGAATTCTATAGTAGTTAGTTGTGGTTTTTTAAATAAGATTGTCCTAATGTAAGAGGGGAGTTTTGTGTTTTGTTTTTTGGGGTTATTTTTCCCTTTTTTTTTTTTTTACAAACTTCTTTTTTTCATGTCTCTGACTGATCTGTGTCTTTATTTCATCTGCAGTAGCTTGATTTATTTTTTTTTAAATACATTCTGCATTTTACGCTCACTTAAGCTTGATATATAAGACTTGTAGAAAAAGACATCCATAGGAGAGACTAATCTTAGTTTCTGAAGCATGATAGTTGAGTCAGTTTATTGAAAAGGTAACAGTTCTAGGTAAAGCGAGTATAATAAATTGTTTTTGTTTTTAAAGGGATGGAGAAAGAAAAAGTATGAGCACTGAAAGGTATGCACCTTTAATATCAAAAAAAATTACATGAACCACTAAACCTACTTAATTCTAGGTAGTGTATACTTTTATAGTCATATAAATTTATTGTGTGTTTATACATGTTAAAAAATTGCACATACCACAAGCTCACTAAATCAGATTCAGGCTTTTTTGTTTTTTTCTTGGTTTCAGAATACTATACAGGTGCTTTTGTGTTCTTTTATCATCTGATTCTCCTAATGCCTTTAATACATCAAAATGGTCTTTAAGCCATAATATAGGATGGAAATATATAAGGATTTGAATTTTTTTTTTTTTTATATTCCAGTTTAATGTCAGTATCAGTCTAGTAGCCTGCAGTGGCATGCATGGAATGTATAGCATAAGGTAGACTTGCAAAGTAGGCAATAATTGCAGGGTTAACTAAAATGGCTTACGTTTATTAACATACAAACAGTTTTTATCAGAGTAAAGTTCCTTAAAGTTGTGTATGTCATTTTGAGAAGTTCCTTTTTAAAAAGGAGATACCGCAAGAACATTGGAACAATCTCTACAAGAACGTAGAGGTAGGACTCTGACAGCTTCCCAGTTACTGCAGCATTGCGATGCTGTCAATCACTGCAGCATTACTGGGTTAACATGAGTGACTCCTCGCATAATGGCATGAGACCTACAGTAAAATAATTCACCCGCTAGTTTGGCAGCAAGCAAACATTGTTAGGGGAATGTGAATCATAGCAGAGAGATGTGAAATCCAGTGTAACTACAGGGGTCTTTACAGTCATAAGTTTAAAGCCTGGCATGAAACAATGAATCTGAGACCTTTCCAGAAGCGTCTGGCAGCTCTTAAGTTTTGCTTCCTGCTTCTCTTAAAATCACTACTAACTGAAGGTTACCTTTCTGCTCATATGATTACTAAAAAGAAGATGCACAACAGAAAAATAGTGCTGTTAATTCCCCTGCTAAGAAGCTGCAGCAAAGGCAATTAACAATGTTTTTGGCAGAAAGATACTTTTTTTCTCCTCTGAAGCTAGACATAATTGTCCTAGCTGGCATGTTTTTCTTAGCATCTGCATTATTTATTTCTGATACTTGGCTAAGAAGTTGACTTTCTAATCCTTTCTTTCTTCTCATGTTACACAGCACTATACAGAGGAGATTAAATAGAAATAACTTGGCTGGCTTCATTAATTCAGTTGGTGTTAGTATTCTCTCTTGCAAATATTTAACAATTAGTCACCTTAAATCTGACACATTTTCAGATAGTGCATGAAAATTGAAAGCCAAATTATTTAATTATTTGAAGGGCTTTGCTAACATTTTGAAAAATAAATGTGCACAAATACTTCTGTATAATATTTGTATTAATATTAGTTTTTCCTAAAGTGAACACTCATACCTGCACAACCTTCATCTCATGTAGTTTTGTGTAACTGTGCAAAAAGTACTTTTAGATGGCAGCCACTGAACAGATTTTAGGATTCATACTGAAAAAAAGATTGTTTTTATCTTAGAACATTCAGTGAAATAAACAGAGCCGAAGACCAGTACAGCTTGTGTCGAGAACTCTGCAGAGACCTTGCACAAGAGTTACAGAAAGAGGGGCTTAAGGTATTTATATTATTCTGTTTACTTGCAAAAAGACAGCACTTTGCACTCCGTCTTACTAAATGCAGCATTAGTGTGATTGCTTTCAACAGTAATCAATTCTCATAATACTCCATCCTTTAATTTGCAGATGTTTACAGTGATTTAGGCAGAATTTTGATACTGTTCAGGTGGCTGTCTAATAATACATTTAGAAAAAACTTGAAGTAATTGATCAAATGAATGTTTTATGCTAAAAGCAATTTTTATGAAGAAATATTAGAGCTGATTGTCTTATGAGCTGTGCTTGGGTCAGTCACGTTCAAACAGTGTTTGTCTCCCATATTGATACAGGATCCAGGCAATAGCCAGTAGTGTAATTTGAGAGGCTTGCATGTCTCAAGCTTGCTGACACGTTATTCGTTCAATGTTGCGAAGGGTAGGAGCAGTCCCTCTGTTCCTTCTCCTTACATCTTCTGTCATCTGGAAAGAACAGCTCATACTTTGTTACGGAGGTCTTTGTGGTAAAGCAAGGGATATTATTCAAGATGTAAAAGGATTGTGATTAGTATTCTTCAGCCATAAAAGTTTTTCTCAAAAGATGGCAAGATGAAAGGGAAATCATCAGCTAAGAAGGACAAAGGGATAAGCTTACAGAGGCACTAGAACAGAAGGAGTGCCACTATTTACATTTGGATGGACATGCTAAATCACACAAATTATTTGGAAGGTTTTCTCAGGGAATTATCTGTGCCAAAGACAGATGCTGTGTGTGGCTCTTTATAATAACTGTGCAGGAGGAAGTTTTCAGCAGATCCTTAATTCAATATCACTTACACATTCTTAGTAGTTTTCCCAGCAAAGTTAAGGTATCTGTCAGTGAAAGTTTCCAAGTGAGGAAATAATTTTTTCTAGACAGGGTAGAAGTTGTGACTGCGGTCAGGGCATGAAATATCTTTGACATGCACTGGTGGCAGATGGTCTGCTAGGTGCCATAGTCGAATGACCCACTTCAGAGAATTCAACTTCAGCAGCACTTTAGGAGCAAGTGCAGAATCTTGCAGACACATCCATGGCAGCGCCTCGTACGGTATGCAGGTAGGCACACAGTCTTGACTGTGGCTTTAGGGCGTGCATATAGATGCTACGTAATTGTTTCTGTGCTGTATATGACATGCTTAACTTCTCCCCTCCTGTTTTGTTTCCAAGGGTAAAACTGTTACCTTGAAGCTGAAGAATGTGAACTTTGAAGTAAAAACAAGAGCATTAACTGTGCTGTCTTCTGTTTCTACTGAGGAGGAGATATTTGCTGTTGCTAAAGAATTGTTAGGGACAGAAATTGATAGTGTTGCTCCTCACCCTTTACGGATAAGACTTATGGGTAAAATATTTCAAACTCATTCTTCCTTTCCAGAGTTAGATCTTATAGTGTATCAAAGCCATAGACTGTACTCTAAAGTAAAATCAATATAAATGGATTTATCCTTTCTCTGTTACCCTCTTAGTTTTTGCAAAGTGAAAGAGGTCTCGAGTGCTGAATTGATGGCTCAGGAATATATTTCTAATTGAGTTTGTACTGTTCCTACCACCTGGTAGCCCTGGAACCATTATACACATCAGCATGAGAGCAGAATCTCAATACGTAGGAGTGCTTAATTCTACAGCCTTAAAAGAGTTTTTAAACTTGCTTTGCACCACAGCAGCAGATAGTTCCTGTCCATAACCTCTTTTAGAAACAAATTCTTTAAATAAAAGTGCTTCTAGATTTGAAGATGTTATATTCTGCAAGAAACTTGGAAATTTCTGTCAAAAGTAAGCTCTGTTTCAGTTCCAAGATCTGTGTGTTTCTATTTGAACCATTTGGTGATACATAAAATTTACTTGTCTATGGTACTATAATGTGCTAAAGGGGGAAAAAAAAAAAAAGATTTTTGGGGAAGCTTTAAAACTCTTTCAGACTGAATTGTGTATAACGAAGTCTATAGCCTGATGTTATGGTGCAATCAGTTAAAACGTCATGGATATTGAAATTAATAATATAATTGGGCAAGTGTTTGGGTCTGATAAAATTGTATGGATCTTGTGGTCCATTGTTAGGACTTCTAGGTAATACAGCCTCCATTTAGAGATAAAATGCACTTCTGTTGAGAGAATGAATACTTCAAAAGCTGTTCATTAAGAATTAGTATCAAGCTTACATAAATTGGTAATATAATTTGTTTTTCATCGTTAGGTGTACGAGTATCAGGATTTCTAAGTGAAGAAGAGAAGAAGTACCAACAAAAAAGCATTACAAGTTTCTTAAAATCTGGAAAAGAGATTAGTTTTCTTAGGCTTCAGCCAGCAAAGTCCAACCAAGAGTACTTCACCGAAAATTCAGAAGCATCTCCCAGAGGGAGTTTTTTTGATAAAAAACGAGCTGCAAGGCAACTAAACCATGAGAATCTGTCTTTGAATGAAACTGCATGTCAGCAGCCCTTTCATGATGGTAAATCATCAGCAAATTTTGTGGAAGAAACAAAGAAAGCTACAGACTTAGAGAATTCTAATGTGTGTACAATCTTCACCTGCCCTGTTTGCTTTGAAGAGCAAAGCAGTGACAATTTGGAAGAGTTTAATAGGCATATTGATGAGTGTCTTAATGGGACTCTTGTTAAAGATACTGTGGAAATATCCAAGAATGACATTTCAAGAGAAAATACTCTTAAATTTCTTCCACAATTTCAAAATGAAAATGTTGATGAACGTCAAAAAAATAGAACAGATCAGTTAGCAGGAGCAGACCAGTCTGCAAGTACATCAGACAACTCTAGCAGCAAGAGCACAAAAAAAATCATTCAGATAGTACCTGATAAACCTCACAGCAAAAGACAGCCTAGCAACCTCAGTGATATTGCTAGAAGTGTGTGTATGAAACAGTGTCTCTTCCCCCAAAAAGCTTCACTAGACAACAAAGACCATTTTGGAGAAACTGAACGTGCAGAAGAAACCAGTTCATCCTGTTTCTTGGAAGCTAAAGAAGACAGTGTTCTTGTTTGTCCAGTTTGTAATTCAGAACAGAAAACAACCAGTCTTGTGTCATTTAACAGACATGTGGATGTCTGCTTAAATAAAGGCCTTATCCAGGAGCTGACTGAAAAAAAAGATTTTCCTACTGAGACTTATAATATGGAAAACTCAAATAGAGTTGGTGAGTATGTGCATGAGGATATATTTGAGTATTCAAATTACCTGCTTGTACAATTAAAATAATTTGTTAGTGGTGTACTTTGAACTTTTCAGAGCTTTGACAATTTTGCAACAAGTTAATTTGAGTAAGACCTGTATAGGAGTGAATATTTTTATTAAAAAAATGTAAAATCCATTTTCATGGCAAACTAGATTTATGAATGATGGCAGTTACACAGTGAATTCTCATTTGCCAGTGTGGTGACACAGGAATTACTGGACATTTCTGTAAACTCCATGTTCGCCACACCCCAGCCATGTATAGAAGAGTGTTGGAAAGGCCACTGTGATTTAGGTGAAAGTCAATGAAAAAATGTTCAACCTGTGTTGTTTCAGAGATTCATTTGACGGAAAAGTTCCATTATGTAATGTGGGGGCAAAAACAGAGGTGGTGAACTAAAGCGTGAGGGCAGGAACTTGCAGACCTGTTTTTCATCTAATAAAGTGTATCACGTAACTGTACCTGTAATGTGCCTAACCAGTAGCATACTTACTCAAGCAGTTTCTGGTCTTGATGAAGAGATAATCATTAGCTAGGTTAGCAGAGGCAGTTAAGTATCGCTTAAAGTATCTTGTCCCTAATCTAATGTGGGAGCTTTATAAGAGGAAGTTAAAATACTAGTGTTTTAGAATTATCAAAGCATGATTAAGGCTGACAATGTGCATCTTTTACACAGAAAATGTTTGAAGAACAATGCTGTTACATGTGCAAACAAGCTTTGTTTTAACTGAAAACTTACTTTTGGAAAAGACCTGGTTTTCTCCCACAGGATAAAAAAAAAAAAATCAAAAATACAGTTTTTGACAATCACTTTGAAATTGAACACTGTTATGCTGAAATATTTCTGAAAACTACCGCAAGGTTCAAATTAATCACTTGGAATTCAATAAAGTAAAGGGGTTTTGTTTTTCTCTTTTAAAAACGTTAATATATCCAGTATTCAAACTGCAGATTAAAAAAAATGTTACCTGCTCCTTGAAGCAGATTAAACTTGGTTATGTTAAAAAAAAAAAAAAAAAAAAGAGGGAGGAAAGAAGAGCTTTACCCACAACTGTTCTTCCAAAACTAGTCTTTTAAAAGTTCTGCTGTGTGTGTAGCTTCTGAAGCATTCTTTCTTTATTGAAGTAATTAATTCTAGTTGTTTCCAATTTCTTTTCAGGAGGTTCAAACAGAAGACAGCAGTGCACAAATCCATCACAAGGAACAAAAAGGTAAGGGTTTTCTGGAAACTTCTGTACACAAGTAATTTTAAAACAATAAACTTTAGAAAATATTAGATCTTTCAAAAGTCATGTAGGTATGCGTTGTATATTTTAAAATCTCACTGTTTTTTTTCTTTTGTTCTTTAATTTTAGGTCTGGACTAACAACTTCACAGTCAGTATCAAAAAAGGCCAAGTCAAGCGATTCAAAGCATACCATTGAAAAGTTTTTTAAATGACTGTACAGCAACATACTCTATATGAAGTATTTCATAGTGTTTTATGACTGCGAATTAATATATCACTGATGGTAGGCTGGATTCAGGTGCCTGTCACTTTGGAGGCATTGTATGCCTGTGTGAAAAGAACATGATGTTTGAGGTAGAAGAAGAGGTACAACTGAGGTAATTTTTATTTTTTAGAATACTACTTTTTTTCACAGTTGTTTCCAAAAATCAAAATTTGCTAGCACTTCAGCTTTGTTTATATTGAACATGTGGAACTTTGTTAGCATCACCAGCTAACAACACTTGCTGTTCAACATGTAGAACGGGGATATAAGAGCTGCCCTTGAGGATGTCCATGGGGCAAGCTCCCTAGGAAGCAGGAATCATTAGCTAAGGTGCCACGCTGTGCTTACTGAAGGCTTTTCCCACACCCGAACTGCCGTCTTCTGTGTTGGTTGTGTTGGCTGCAGTATCCCTAATAGAGCAGACTGACATTTCCTTGGACAATTCAGCACCAAATTTAATTGTGGTTTTAGCTGTGTGATGACAAAAATGCTGAGTTGCAAGATTTCGGCTTACAAATGTCTGTCTTCTCAGTGGACATAAAAATTGATTAGTCTGACAGTTTCAAAGGGAGAAGAGCGAGAATTTAGAGTACAGTCAAGCTTTCATTGCTGTTGCTGAAAATTACTTCAGTAAGAGTAGATGGACCAGCCCTGAAGGACTCATCGTGATGAGATACAGGATGACATCACCAACTTTAAAAATGTTTAAAAACCCGTTGATGAGAGAAGGATTCCTCCAGATCAGTCAGACAAATGCTATTTGATCCCTGTCCTTTCCAAAGACACTTTAGAACTTCAATTATCTTTGCAATTATGAAATTGTTACTTGTCAGGAGCAGTAAATTTACTCTAAAAAGTCTCATAGTGCAATAATAATGTAACTGATGTGCAAATATGGAAGATGCTGAACCTTCTTACTGTTTACCAATCTTTCTCTTCAAACCTATTTTGTATTTATGAATAAAAAATATTTTATGAGTGCACATGTGGAAGGATGAAGTTGTAAAGTGCAAGTACTTAAAATACCCTGCTTAGATTTTTTTCTGTTCACACCAAATTAATTAATAATTAAATATTTCTCAGGCAAATAATTTATGATGACTGTGTATTTCTTAAGTTATACAAAGAATGTGAAATGCTGTATGAATTAAACTGCCTTTTAACTGCAAAATCTTTAAAATAAGTCATGGCTCTAGAAGCACCTGTTTTGTTGGTTTAAAGAAGTAGCTATTCTAGAACCATCTGTTTTGTTGGTTTACTGTCTTGAAAGTACTGGGGGGGCTTGCTTGTTTTTGAAACGAACAAATGTGTACCTGATGTGTTTTAGGTGTTTTAGTTAGCTAAGCTAACTCCAAAATGTGCTTCAGTTCTCTCTTATCTGCTTTGGACCAAATTAGCTGGACTAGGTCAGAGTGTGTAGGCTGACTCTGTTGACTGTATC